TATATATATATATTACCTATGGAAAATCTTTGGTAAACAGTAAATAAAGCGGTCAAAATGCAGAAGAAGGTCAAATTTACAGCATTTTCTTCTGCAATGTTGTGGAATAGAACTAAACTAAATGTACTTAAGTAAATATTTACATTCCTAAACTGGATCTGCTGTGCAGATTGTTTGATTTACATCCAACACTCTGTGTCTTTCAGGAAACGGCATCACATTAGAGGGAGCCGTCCCAACAGAACAAGACAGTCAACCCAAACCGGCCAAAAGAGCACGGACGTCGTTCACTGCAGAGCAGCTACAGGTGAGGCACATCCGTCTCACTCAGGGCTAGTGTTGTACAAAGTACCACAAAGTGATACTTGAGTAAAAGTGCAAGTATCTTACCATGAAATTACTTTGGTAGAGCTTAAAGTTTAAGGATATTACGTGAGTAAAAGTCTTAAAGTATCTGATATGTTTTGTACTTAAGTATCAAAAGTAAATTTGTGACATAAAATGTACTTAAGTATTAAAAGTAAAAGTACTGAGTAAAAATGAGTGGTTAAATTTCCCAAAATGATATTTATTGGGAGGTGTAAAATATTAATATTAAAAATGTTTGGATGCACTAATGTAGCTGTTGCAGGTATATACTGTATATATTTTTATTTCTATACCACATACATCTGTGATAATGTGAAAAATAATTACTCAAGTAGATAACCAAAGCTTTATACTTAAATACAATAACAAAGTATTTGTACTTAGTTACTTTACAACTCTGCCCACTTTACAACTGACGCCTGCTCAGTTCTTTAAAACAGATCATTCTTTTAATTTTACAGTGAAACAGTCCGCTACTATTTTTCTAATCTGTTGTCTCATTTATCAGATCATGCAGGCGCAGTTTGCTCAAGACAACAACCCAGACGCCCAAACGCTGCAGAAGCTAGCTGACATGACGGGCCTCAGCAGGAGAGTTATACAGGTCTGTGCGAGAGCCGAAAGATACTTTATCTCCTGTGTGTCAGACGTATCGCTACATGATGTCTGCGTCTTCATAGGTGTGGTTTCAAAACTGCAGAGCAAGACATAAAAAGCACACGCCCCAACACAGCGGGGCTCCCCAGGGTCACCCTCAGTCCAGGATGCCCTCGTCGCTGCCCGACGAGCTGCATTACTCGCCCTTCGGCAGTCCGGAGCGAGCGCGGATGGTGGCTCTACACGGCTACATCGACAGTAAGTTTGGAAAAATCCCTTCTACGTCTAGAAAGCTTCTGCTGATTTTCTGCTCATTTGTGTTTTTTTTTATTTGTTGCCATCGCCAGGTCACCCCTTCTCCGTCCTGACCTCTCAGAGTCTCCCTCACCAGGCCATGTCGCTGCCCCAGCTCCCCCTCAGCCGGTAGCCCAGGACCCCCTGTTCCGTGGATCCGCGCCCCTGATCTGCAATCAGCAACGCCTGCTAACCTCATTCAAAGATTGTACAACATGGAGAAAAGACTCATCTGCCAGATCTCCTAACAGACCAAGGAATGGAAAGAAGAGGAAAAAGAAACTTTGTTGCTCTTTGCTCTGAGGAGATGATAATCCCACCTGCAGCCCGTCTGTCAAAAACAAACACACACACAAAAAAAACTCCTTCCAGCATTTATATTTAACAGGAACCCTCTGTTTTACACCATGTAATGGACATTTTTTACTTCCCTCCACAAACCTGAGAGAAGTGGAGTTTTAAATGGACGTAACTGATAAAGGAAGCAGGACTGAAGCTTTTTGAGTGCTGTCAGAGTTTTGAAGATTCAGTATGAAAGGAAGTGTCACTGCGGCCCAGACGGGACGGGGCGCACTCAGTAAACCACATCCGAGGTAAGACTCCTCCCTCTTTTATCTCTCAGCAACCATGAAGGAAACCTACATGCAAACACAACAAGCTGTTCATCTTTGGAATACGTAACAACAAATAGTTCCCAATTACAGGTTTGGATCAAAGTTCCACTGAGTTAAGAAGAATTTAAATTTTGTTCAAGATTTCAAACAGCGTGCCTTATCTCGTCTATTATTCAACTAAATCTAAATTTTAACTCATTTTTAAATAACAAATTGGACTTTTTAATTTAAAAAATTGTTTAATTTTAAATGATTTAAACTTTTTTTTTTTTTAGAAAAGTACAAACTATGTTTACAAACTCAGCTCCAGCAGTTGAACTTTTTTCCTTTTAAACCTCAACTGAAAATTTGAGTTTTATGGATTTATTTTAGCATTTGAGGCAATCCTGCTGAAGCTCTTTTTTTTAATAAAGAAAAGTTTTGGATCAGTTTGTTGTTAAAAGACACATTCCTACAAAATCTGACATCTTGTACAGCTGTGTTCTAATTTTTAATTTATACGGTTGCTTGTTCAGCTTCACACAATGAGGGAAACTGAGTTTTGGTACAAAATGGACCCAATAAAACTGACTGGGTTTGTATATAGTAAAAAGGGGTGTGCGTGAAWGTGTTTCTATGTGTGTATTGGCAGGAGTAGCGAGTGTGTGTGTGTCTGTATTTTAGTGTCATTACCTTTGTGTGAAAACCACATCCAGTTCCACCTCAAAGTCCTTGTATTTATTAACATGGTAAATCCCTGTAAAGCACTTTCCCCCTTTCTGAATCAGTTTTTGACATAAAAACATTAAGAAATTAAACAAAAGGTTTATTTGATAGACTGTGGATCATCAATGTTTCGTGTAATAAAATGCATAAAATTGAGTGTGATTTTTGTGTGGTTTTTACAAACTTTTCGGAGTCAAGGAAACTAAACTTCACTTTTATCAAACTAAATTTGTGGCAAAAGAGACAGAAAAGTTGGCRTCGTAAAAAAAAGTTAAGCAACAACTTTCAAAAATAAAAAAATAAATAAATACACTTAAAATAAATGAAAGTAAAATGAAATGTCTTTTAAAAGAAGTTGCATGTTTCTGTTGCATCTTGGCTGCATCTTCGTTTTTCTGCAAATGTTTACAGAAAAAAATGCRTCATAAATTTTGTGCAAAAATCTGCTGCCTTTTACATTTTAAAATTTCGCTCAAATGTATCCTTAAAGTCAACTAACCAAGTTTTAATAAATTATCTGCAAAATATAATTTATTATCCATTTGTTAAAAAKCCTGAGATGGCCTGCAGATAAGCAATATTTTGATTTAAAAACAATTTATCAAAAATAAATCACTCAAAAGTTTTTTTCACAGCCATCTTTGAGTGTTCAAATTTGCAAATTAAATGTTTGATTTGAAATGCCCTGATAAGAATTACTGCACCTAGAAATAACAAAAACTGTGTTTTTGACAAACTAAAATGATAAAAAAAGGAGTTATGAAGTTGCAATGTTTTTTTTGTTTAAAATGTTTGCACTGAAAGTCATCTCCACTTCCAATCTGTGGCAAAAAAAAAAAGGATAGTTTCATTCAACTCAGGCAAAATTACAGACAAAAATCTGTTGTTTTTTTTATTTAGCTCGTAAAGTTTAAAACATCATTTTGCTCAGCTCTCTTCAGATCTGGTTGCGGGATCTGATGATCCAGATGAACCAGATCCAGCAACAACCTCATTCCGACAAGTCCTCACGATCCACTCGTGTTCAGAGTCATCTGTCAGAAAACATTTGATGAGAAATGGATCAGATCTGATCAAAGACAAAGCCCGGGGCTAAAGAAACTTTAAAAAAAAAAAAACAACAACTGCAGATTCTGATGTGAAAGGCTGAAAAGTGGGAGGTTGTTCTCAATTTGTTAAACTGGCTCAAAAGGCTTAAATAAAATGTAGAACAATCAGCAGCCAGCGTTATTAAACCGCAGGTTAGTGTGTGTGTGTGTGTGTGTGTGTGTGTGTGTGTGTGTGTGTGTGTGTGTGTGTGTGTGTG